TCAGAACATGGGCTTCACATTCTAGCGCTGCATATGAAACCTGAAGCATGCAGAGTTCTCTGACTCATTGCAGTAGGCCTGCCACCCACAAGGAACTGGGCAAACCAGGCCTACTTGCTACCGTATTTCTTGCTCAAACTTGTTGAGACCTGGTTCTGGACCACCCCGTCCCCTGTCCCATCAAGTTTGGTGCAGCAGCAGCAATGAGTTAGGCATGTCTGTGATATGGCTATGAGGTGTGTGTGTGTGTGTGTGTGTGTGTAATTCTGAATTTACAAGTGGAAAGAGGCATCAGTGATGCTCATATCTGAAAACTCCATTTGCATACCACATCCAGCTTGGCCCACGTCTGGGGGATTATCTAATAAGACACAGCTATTTACTTGGTTCCTCTTCATCCTGGAGAAGAGTGACTAGTGGGGTGCCACAGGGTTCTGTCTTGGGCCCGGTCTTATTCAACATCTTTATCAACGACTTGGATGATGGACTCAAGGGCATCCTGATCAAATTTGCAGATGACACCAAACTGGGAGGGGTGGCTAACACCCCAGAGGACAGGATCACACTTCAAAACGACCTTGACAGTTTAGAGAACTGGGCAAAAACAAACAAGATGAATTTTAACAGGGAGAAATGTAAAGTATTGCACTTGGGCAAAAAAAATGAGAGGCACAAATACAAAATGGGGGACACCTGGCTTGAGAGCAGTACATGTGAAAAGGATCTAGGAGTCTTGGTTGACCACAAACTTGACATGAGCCAACAGTGTGACGCGGCAGCTAAAAAAGCCAATGCAATTCTGGGCTGCATCAATAGGAGTGTAGCATCTAGATCAAGGGAAGTAATAGTGCCACTGTATTCTGCTCTGGTCAGACCTCACCTAGAGTACTGTGTCCAGTTCTGGGCACCACAATTCAAGAAGGACACTGACAAACTGGAACGTGTCCAGAGGAGGGCAACCAAAATGGTCAAAGGCCTGGAAACGATGCCTTATGAGGAACGGCTAAGGGAGCTGGGCATGTTTAGCCTGGAGAAGAGGAGGTTAAGGGGTGATATGATAGCCATGTTCAAATATATAAAAGGATGTCACATAGAGGAGGGAGAAAGGTTGTTTTCTGCTGCTCCAGAGAAGCGGACACGGAGCAATGGATCCAAACTACAAGAAAGAAGATTCCACCTAAACATTAGGAAGAACTTCCTGACAGGAAGAGCTGTTCGACAGTGGAATTTGCTGCCAAGGGGTGTGGTGGAGTCTCCTTCTTTGGAGGTCTTTAAGCAGAGGCTTGACAACCATATGTCAGGAGTGCTCTGATGGTGTTTCCTGCTTGGCAGGGGGTTGGACTCGATGGCCCTTGTGGTCTCTTCCAACTCTATGATTCTATGATTCTACTTCGTCACAGATATCAACTGAAAAATGTGGGCTTTGTTCACCTTTTACCTGGTATACTTTCATCTTACTAAATCTTGCCCTCCTAGCAACCTTTCAGATTTTGCCATTAAGTTCTTCTGCTATCAGTACAACAGGCTCAAATGTCCCTCTATATAGTCAGCAACATTAAAAGAAAAAAGAATGCCTTAGATAGCATGAAACTATTTAGTGACTTTCCTATAAGATGGGGAACAGGAATAGGGCTGAATTACAGGCCAGAGTAAAGAATGGGTGGAGCAATGGATGTCACCCTTACCCTTGTTCTGTATGCAGGCCCTCCAAGTGTCCCTATTTTCCAGGGACAGTCCGTCCCAGTTTCTGATTGGATCCCAGAATGTCCTGCTTTTCCTTAGGACATCCATCTTTTCATTGGAGAAATGTTGGAGGGTATGGAGTTATGCGACAGCCAAGCCAAGGAGATAAGCACAACCTTTAGAAGACATCTGAAGGCAGCCCTGTATAGTTTTATTATGTATGCTTTTATATATGTCGCAAACGCCCTGAATGGCTGGGGCAACCCGTCAGATGGGCGGGGTATAAATAAAATAAATAATAATAATAATAATGGAATAAGATGTCCCTATTGTCATTGAATAAATGTTGAAGGGCATGTTGTTGTTGTTGTTGTTGTTATTTCTTATACCTCACCCATCTGGCTGGGGTTCCCCAGACACTCTCGGCAGCATACAGCACATGTAAAAACATAGTAAAGCGTCAAACATTAAAAACTTCCTGACACAGGGCTGCCTTTAGAATCTGAGGTATCAAGACTATTGACCAGGAATAGAAAACTGGGTCTTCCCCCATCCTTGCTGGAATATTTTGACAGGTGGAGCCCACCCAGCTGTCAATCATCTGACATCACTATGATGTCACATAAGCCTTCTTTCCTCTGCAGTATTTCATATAGCAGGGGTGAGGAACCTGTGCCCCCACCCAGAAGATGATAGACTCCAGTTCCTATCCTTCCTAATCACTGGCCACACTGGCTGAGGTTGATGTAAGGTGGAATCAGAAAAAGAACTTCTGGAGGGCCAAATGTTCCCCACCCCTGAAATATCAGTACAGTACATCTGCTGAGGATGTACAGAAGCTGGCATATTCCCTTCATGGAGAGGCGTGTGCTTCTTAGTTTGCCGTGCAACCTAAAAGTGAATTCTAATACCAAGAGTGGGAAAACCTGCCTATGGGAGACATGCAAAAGAAGAGCAAGTGGAAAATCTTTTCAGTGCCTGCTGGCACATCCATTTTCTTCTGCTTGGCTTTTTGACTTTTTAAAAACAAAACAAAACTAGTCACAAATTGATTGTATCTGAGGGAACCGAGAGGGATGTCAAATTGACAAGCGGATAGGAAGAAAACATAGACTTTAAAAAGAATGAACCCTGGGTGTGAGTAATAAGGAGACCTGGGCATTTGTGTGCGAGCAAGCGAAAGAGAGCAAGAGAGAGAGAGAGATGGGTGAATTCCTACATTGGAGCTTGAACCAACCAGACTCTAGAAATAAGAAAAAGGAAATGAAAATCTGAAATGATTAGATCACACCTTTTGCAAGGTCAAACAGCAGGGGAAGCGTATTTCAAAAGGAGTGTGCTTCTAATTTCCTGTCTTCATTAAGATTAAAGGCATGAAGCAATTTAGGTGTGAAAGTTGAATAACCAGCTTAACTTTACACTTTCTGATAGACAACAATTTAGCAGTATCTACTTACGATTCTGTGGTCTGGGTTGGGAAATATTCATTTTCATACCAGAGGTTTTGGCCAAACCATTTGAAATATATCACTGCTGTAAACCGTGTGTGTGTGTTTTCCCCCAGCGTTCAGGTTTATCTGGATACTATGTTTCTCCACAGACAAGGGTATCGATCTAGTGGTTGTCTGATATGCATACCAGCAACAGAAAACAAAAACACCTAATACCATAAATATCAAAATACTTGCTTTTTTCTTGCATGCTGCAGAAAACTGTTTTCATTATTTCCCAGTTGACCTGATTAAATGCCAATGCTTACCGCAGATGGGAAATGAATGTTATCATTAACTCAAGGCATATATTTCTAGGTTGCATGACAGAACACCCATCATGTGCTAGCAGTTCCTAGCTATCACAAACAGAATCAGATCCAGGGGAATAATCCATATTGCTTTCCAACTGCTTCCAAGACCAACTAATTCTACTAAGCACCATGGAAAAGCAGTTTACCAAATATCTGTGGTTTGCTTGTCTAACAATCATACATGTTACAGTGCAATCCTATGCAAGGAGACCATCTTGGCTGTGAGTCCTGATAGACATGTTCCCTGTCTTGCAGGACTTTTTCCACTTGGTCTGGAAGGGCAGGGAGCAGGTCTTACAGGACTCACAGCCAAAATGGTCTCCTTGCATAGGATTGCACTGGAAACTTGCACAACTAGCAGAACAGCAGCAGATATATTCTACGCTTAGGATAATATTTTAGTCCCTTGTTAATTATACTATTTTAAATGTGCATTTCATATTTGACTTCCTTTAGTAATGCTTTCTTTTGAAACATTAAGATTTTTTTTGTTAACTTTGCTGTGTTTAATGTTCATTTTGTAGTTTAATGTTTTATTTTGAAATCTTTTTCATAGCATTTTAGTTCCCTGTTTAGTATGTTGCTTTGAATGCATACTTTATATCCAACTTTCTTCAGTAATGTTTTTATTCTGGATTGTTTTAGTTGATGTTCTGATGTGTGGTAAACCGCTTGGAGATTTTATCTGAAAAATATAAAGCGGTATAGAAATTAAATGAATAATACTACTACTTAGAAGTAAGTCCTACTGTGTTCAGTGGGGCTCACTTCCAAGTGTGTGTGGATTTTAGTCTTCATAATCTTATCCTGCAATCCTTTATATACTTACCTGGAGATAAGTAGGATTTCACTTCTGAAGAGATATGTCTACAATTTCACTATTACAGAAAAGCAAATGCAACTATTGCCGGTTACTCTGGAAATACTATAAAGAAGGCTGATCGCCGAAGAATTGATGCTTTTGAATTATGGTGCTGGAGGAGACTCTTGAGAGTCCCATGGACTGCAAGAAGATCAAACCTATCCATTCTTAAGGAAATCAGCAGTGGCGTAGCGTGGGTTGTCAGCACCCAGGGCAAGGCAAGTAATTTGCGCTCCCTAACCCGTGGATTTGCGCCCCCTAACCCGTGGATTTGCCTAACCCCCAGATGTTGCGCCCGGTGCGGCCGGCCCCCCCTGCACCCCCCATGCTACGCCACTGGAAATCAGCCCTGAGTGCTCACTGGAAGGACAGATAGTGAAGCTGAGGCTCCAGTACTTCATGAGTAGAGAAGACTCCCTGGAAAAGACCCTGATGTTGGGAAAGATGGAGGGCACAAGGAGAAGGGGACGACAGAGGACGAGATGGTTGGACAGTGTTCTCGAAGCTACCAGCATGAGTTTGACCAAACTGCGGGAGGCAGTGGAAGACAGAAGTGCCTGGCGTGCTCTGGTCCATGGGGTCACGAAGAGTCGGACACGACTAAACGACTAAACAACAACAAAGTAGGATTTCACTTCTGAAGAGATATGTCTACAATTTCACTATTACAGAAAAGCAAATGCAACAATTGTCAGTTATTCTGGAAATCTAGATTTTATTTTTAAGTAAGTGAGATTCTGACTTCCTATTATTCATAGCACTAATTAATTGCACAAGCAACACAGAATACTGCAAATTTCATTAAACATTTAGCTGAAACTATTCCTTGATTTACAAAGGAAATGCTCCCTGAATCTTAATCACACTGGAGAAAATATCACCACTAATAATACAAAATGAGATCTGCTTTCAACTGTAACTTTTCTTCCATTTTATGGAGCATGTGGTTTTTAAAACTGTCTTTTTGGAAAGAAATCAATGGCGCAAGGCACCACAGGGGAACACCCCTCCCCCGGTTATTCCTTAGTATTTTGTTAAATGTCTTTGACTAAATGAAGTAATAAAATATAATGAAAATCTTTCAGATTCATCATTAAGATTTCATTTTAAGCTAGGAATGCATAAAAACTGTCAAGGAAAAAATTATTTCCATCACTTATGCCATTAGATCACACTTTTAGTGAAACTGGCTCATACATTATGAACTTAAAAATATTTTAATATTTCCTCAATTTCCTGAGAAAGAGAGCAGATCGTATACAGACAAGCTGTGAATTTCAAAAAGATTGTCCCACTTCCTCCCTCCCAAGAAACAGGGAATGATCAAAAATCTTCACTGATATGTTCAAGTTCAGATGGGGTCTGTAATTCACAACTGGCAAGATTATATCCTTATCTGGAAGGCTGTTATACAGACCACAGGGTCTGCACAGTTGCCCTTATAACCTTGTCAGCCCCAGTAAGATTATGTCAATCCAGATAAGATTACACAGGTGGGTCAATGCAGGGCAGGTGGGCTGCAGTTGGGCTAGCCCAAGGTATTTTGTTGGCTGAGGTTACCCCGTTTTCGGACAAAATGAATAGCATCTTGGGTCAAGGTGAGGTGAAAATCCCACAAGCCCCTGTTGCATTATAACAAACAAACAAACAAACAACAACTTAATTGGTTCCCTTATGAGCTGTTGGTATGGCAGCCTCACCCTGCCTCATGATATGTCTGGCCCTGATCCTGGTAAGTATAATTGTTTGACAAGGGAAATGGAGAATGGCTAAACTGGGGTTTTCCCATAGTAGCATGCTATAGACATAGCGCACTGGCTTCATTGTTCAAGTGCTTTATTCCGTCAGAATTGGATCAAAACAGTAAAGCACCCCTGGCCTAGTATATATATGGTTTGTTAAAAAAACCAAAAAACATATGTTTTACCTGCCCTGGTATCTGTATAGGTGAAGTATATTTATAAGTATTTTAATAAGAAAAAAGATAAGGTGTGTTCTATGTGTGTTTCCATCAGGTGGTGTATAATCATCCATATACACACATTTACAAACTGTGGGATTTCCCAACAAGAATCTGAGGGGTGTTTTCTGCTTTTGAATCGTTAGCAGTTCTTAAAAAGCAAAACAAAACATATGCTATTTCTATTAAAGTTTTTTGTTTTTTGTTTGTTTTTTGTGGAGGGGTGTGTGTGTTGGCATAAAACACCCTTCTACAATCTTGGGCCCTTTAGATATTTTGGGCTACAAGCCCCATCAGCCCACCCACCCCCGTCCTTCATTTCCCTTTTCAAAAGTTACGATGACCTTCTGTACATTTGTCAGAGTTTGCAAATACAAAGTTCAGCAGCCTATTAATATCAGGAAATTTGTACAAAATGGATTCATAATTTGTATATTTGCCATTTTAATTATTTCTTTTAGTGCACAGTTCTCCTTCAACCACAAACATTTAACAAGATAAAATATTATAGAAAGTTGCATTGACATTGAACAGCAAGTGAAATAAAAAGCTTTGGCCTTGACTAATGGAGCAGCGGACAGCGCTGCCACCATTGTATTCTGGGCTGCTTTCTTATCTACATTTTCTCTTTAGATTTTAGGATGCTTTTCCGCAATAACACAATAAAGCATTGCCCATCTCAGTGATTCAAATAGTTGCCAGTTTTAAATGCAGAGTTCTATGAGAAGTAATGGTTAGTGTTCATTTTTCTTTTCTTTTTTTCTTTAAAAAGAAACCAAAAACATACAATTATGAAAAATGTTGATAAGCTCTTTTAAAGAGACGCAGGGGGTGCAATTAGAACATCTGCACAAATATCTGAACTTTGGAAATAAACCTTATGTGTTTTTCCTTCGATGAGCTCCCTTTTTAAAAAATGAACAAATGTTTAATAATGAGCTTTCTGGTTATTGAAAACCAGTTCTGTCTATACTTTTGTGTATTTGGCATAAACTCTTTTATAAAATTTCCAGCACAGCTGTTAATGCTGGAGCTACTCTGAGTCCCCATTAAATGTCAGCGGTTGCTACTTTCAACAGCCTATTCTCTCCCTCCCTCCCCCCGGAAGTTTTGCTTTCTATAAAACTGAAAATATGTGATATATTTTTACTATTTAACAGTTCTGCAGCCATGAATTCAAAATGGGGCTCAACTTGATCTATAAAAATGTGGTGCCAGAAAAGGGAATTTATTAAAGGAAATTGAGAATACAAGGTTTATTTCCTTTCCCCTACACAGTCATTTTCAAGCACAAATCTTTTTTGTCTCAATTTGCAAACGTGTAACATTGCTCCCTCTTCTGCAGTAACTAAAGTTATGGTACTCAGACTTCCCTGAGGTTTTAACATTTCAGGAAAGTAAGGAAGGTTGATGACAGGACAAGTGACATGATATGAAATGTACTTTGTGTAGGCTGCTAAACGTCAGTGCTGTATTCCAACTGAAATTTAGACCCATTGTGAAGGGAAATCACATGAAAATGATATATAGATGGTACCCAACGCCGAGTGAATTAGCAAATATGTACAAATCTGAATTAGGTATGTGTTGGAAATATAAAGAAGCAGAAGGAATGTTTTATCATATGTGGTGGACATGAAGAATAGTTAAGGATTATTGGGAAATGATTTAGAATGAGATGAAAAAATTGTTTAAAAGAACATTCCCCCCCCCCAAAAAAAAACCCCAGAGACATTTCTTCTAGGAATAGTGCAGACAGAAGTTCCCAGGGGCCAGAAAAAGTATGTATTCAACTACAGCAGCTAGGATTTTGTTAGCCCAAAAATGGAGGGTGGGAAAGGTCCCAAAGGAGGAATGGCATCTTAAAAGGATGGAGTATGCAGTTAGCAGGTCTAAAGCAGAATAAGAGAACAAGAAGATAGAGTTCATAGAGAAATGGAAAATATTTGTGGAGTATCTGGAAAATAACTGTAAACAAGTGTGTGTAAAAAAGTTAGCAGGATTAAGGTAAATTCAACAGTATAATCTACAGCAGGCACCCCCAAACTTGGCCCTCCAGATGTTTTGGGACTACAACTCCCATCATCCCTAGCTAACAGGACCAGTGGTCAGGGATGATGGGAATTGTAGTCCCAAAACAGCTGGAGGGCTGAGTATGGGAATGCCTGACTGACAGTAAGTAGAAGTAATATGTAAAGGGGGGGAATTAGATGGTTGGAATAGAATATGAAGGAATAATGGGAAAATTAAAAGAACAATGGAAGGAGGAGAAGTCAATGAATGTACTATCTTATTGGATATTTTATTGTGGAAAATGTATAACTGAAAATTGTAAATATATATGAAATTTAGACCCATTGATTTTAATGGGCTTAAAAGGTGCAAAGACCTGTGCTTGATTATGGTCTGCCATGCACCTGTGCCAGCATGAAATTTATTGGAGTATCAGTCAATAACAGAGTGATCTTAAGTCTTGGCCAGGAAGCAACGGGGGCAGTAAGAAATGGTGGAGCCCTCTGAAACCCTGCTCCCCCCCCAACCAGGATGGCACAGCACAGGGACCCCATCTCAGAGCATTGCTTGCACCATAATTTCAAGACCAGCAGGTGGAGATGTCTTCTGGATCTTAACCCCCTCTACCAGTGTGGATCAGGGTTTGGAGCTCTAGCCTAATTCCACTTTCACCATCTCACAAAGCATGAACTATGTCACAGACAGATACACCAGCATAGATATTAAGAACTGGAGTGCCAATGTATTTTATTGTGCAAGTTTGGGTATGTGAAAACATCTCACTTTGGCTTTTCAACAGCACAGAAAGGCAGAGGCTCCTGATGAACCAGACTAATCTTGACAGCAGAAATCAGTCCTTAAGTCTGGTTGATGCTGTTTCCCACTACTGTCTCAATGTTCACAACCAAGCTTAATCAGAGCGGCAAAAAGCACTTCTCAGACCTGGTACTCTTAATATATCGAGCATACTTTAATCTCTCCCTTTTATAAAATAATCTCTCTTTTCTAGTAATTCCCCTTGTCTGCATCTCCTCCTTCTCCTCCTCCCCCGCCCCCTTCGCTGACTCTTGTTGGTCCAGTCCACTCCTGGTAAGTAGAAACCGGTTCCCCTGCATTGTTGTCTAGTTGCGACATCTGGTCTACTGCGGTGAACTGTCCCGATGACGTCCTCAATGAACTGGAGCTTGGCTCCTCTCTGCTTCGCCAAACTTTTGTTTGCCAGAACATTTTGACAGCAGCCCTACGAGATAAGCCGCAACCAGATCATAAGACAAACGCCACCTGTCTTTGTGTCATTTTTAAAAAGCAGGCTAGAGACAGAAAATACTTTTTTAAAAGTCTTGAATAAAGGTTAAGGGCATAGCTGTCAACGTTTCCCCTTTTTTAAAGGGAAATTCCCTTATTCCGAATAGGATTCCTTGCAAGAAAAGGGAAAAGTTGACAGCTATGGTTAAGGGTTGCATCACTTCCAATGGTGTATACAAGCTTTTCTTCTGCCCTGTTCTTGACTTCTGGTCAGAAAACGGTTCTACCTCTAAACCTTGTTCACCAGAGGAGTGTATGCACTATGAGTAATGGAACAGATGAAGCCGCCTTATACCAAAGGTTCATCTACACTTGTCCCATGTGTGGGTTTGAGTGGTTTCCCCCTCGCCCTGCTCCTTTCCCAGAAAAAAACCCCTTTTTAGTGCTAAATCAGAGCAAACATCAATCTGGAGAAAACCTAAATAGCTGTTTGCTCTGACTGAGCACTAAATAGTGGTTTTCGATGAGCAGGGGTTGCAAGCAGTAGGACAAGAAGTGGGGACAAGCCCTGGATCGGACAATTGGTCCACCTAAGACTGAGCCATGCAAAGCATCATCTTTCCCCTTTATCTCTCTAAAAAAGGTATTTTCAGTCTTCAGCCAAACAGACAGCATACTATAGCACAAACCTTATCACATTAAAATGAAAGCAATGCTTTTCAACCATTCTTCGAATGTCACTCTAGATACAGTACTGGCATTTAAACTCTTGACCTCTCCACTTCTAATGCTCTCTTCTCTCGTTTCCTCCTATTCTACTTCTCACCCTTTCCATGCCTCATGAGCCAATTTCCCCACCAGCAGCTTCCTTTATTCATTTCTTCCATTTTTCTGCTTGCAATCTGCCATGATGCTTCCTGTATCTGGAACAGTTCCTCTTCCCCTTTAATGGTCTCCTCGGGGTTTTGTTTTGTTTGTAATGCCTTTGCTAGTTTTGCAGGTTCACCTATCCTTTACTGTTTGTTACCAGCTAAACCAGATTCATAACTGCATCTAGAAGGGACGTGGTTGGCGCTGTGGGTTAAACCACAGAGCCTAGGACTTGCCGATCAGTAGGTCGGCGGTTCGAATCCCCGTGGCGGGGTGAGCTCCCGTTGCTCGGTCCCTGCTCCTGTCAACCTAGCAGTTTGAAAGCATGTCAAAGTGCAAGTAGATAAATAGGTACCGCTCCGGCGGGAAGGTAAACGGCATTTCTGTGCGCTGCTCTGGTTCGCCAGAAGCGGCTTAGTCATGCTGGCCACATGACCCGGAAGCTGTACGCTGGCTCCCTTGGCAATAAAGCGAGATGAGCGCCGCAACCCCAGAGTCGTCTGCGACTGGACCTAATGGTCAGGGGTCCCTTTACCTTTAACTGCATCTAGAAGCCCCTGGCCAGCCTTATAAAAGAAGTTACATAAAACAATTGCTCTGGGAGACAGATTCTTGAGTGGGGCACCTCTTGCTACGAATGTCATTTTGCACCAAGCAACTATGTGTGGATTGTTCTAGTCTTCCCACCTAAAGTATGGAGATGCTTGTACTTGGCACCGTTAGAAAGCCTGCTTTCACGCCTCATTGCCAGAGTGTATGTCTGCCCTAGTACCCTCCTTTTTCACAAAATATTTGTACTGTACTGCATATAATTTCTGGAGTTCTTACATCATCATATACAATCTCCTGACCAGTCCTGTACTTGGCTTCTACAACATAAATGCCATAAACTGAAAGCACATGACACCCCCCCCAAAGAATCCTGGGAACAGTGGTTTGCCCTGCACAGAACTACAATTCCCAGCACCAGGATTCTTTGGGTGATGTAATTTGCTTTAAAAGGTATGGTGCTTGTTGCAGCCATAATGTGACAGTTCGTTGTTACCCAACTGCAAAGTCTGTTTCAGTTTAACACTGTTTACCTACCAATTAAGGATGATGAAGATTATTGCGAAGACCACGCCAACACAAACAATAACTCCAGTTATGAGGACAAACACCAAAACTATATCTGTATTCGGCTTCTTCAACCTTCTTGTTTCCAACTCTAAAGAAAGGCAAAACTGTTATTATGGAAATGTTGGTAAAGAGAATTTTGAAAAGGATGAAAATAAAAAAAGGTTCTTTTTAAACATGCTTTGTATGTTTTATACAAATCTCCACTACATTTTTCTGTGACATAAGAAAGCAATTCTAAATTGCACAAAAGGTGCATCTTTTAAAAGGCAGGCATCACAAGGCAGACCATTATGCACTATAACCTTAAGCAAAACTGTTATGTCACTACTATGTACCATCCCTGTGCACAGTTTGAAAGAGTGCAACACACCAGGAAAGATTAAGAGCACAGCAGCAGAAATTTCAAAGAACCGACATATGGAGGAACTAAACAAGTAAATAAGCACAAGAACTTAGAACATCACTTCTATTTACAAAAGAGACACAGTATATTGCAGTAGACCTTTAAAATGCTCTTATATAACATGCTAATGAGTGTAAGGTTAAGATAGCTTATGTAAATAAAATGTTGATCATCAGAAGTAATAAAATTTAGCTGCAGATTGAAACAGTAAGATTTAAAGGGGTAGGTCCAAATAATGCCTCTGAGTAAAGCGACTCTCGGAAAATGTGGTATCCACCAGCTGATGACTTAGTTCCTGAAACCAGATAAATCAGCCAAGGAAGCTTTCAGACATCATACCTAGCGATGATTATTTTCACCTACTAGTGGAGCTGCCCTGGTTTGGTGGAAGGTGAATTAAAAACCAGCAGCACCATGTTGTCATACATATCACTGTTGGTCACCATGGGGTGGAAAGAAATGTGGCAAAGAATAAGGCATTAAAAAAAAAAAAACACAGGTAAAGCCTTCCTGTGGTTGATGCTCACCTAACTACATGGCTGCAGAAAGCATGAGCAGTTGCACTCTAGCCTTCTCAGGACAACCTAGTTTCCTATGCACAGCTTACTTTGCTTTTATGTATTACTGTTCTGTTTTTATTTTTAAGTGATAGCTCCAGGACGGCTGCACCATAACCATGCAAACAAGCCCACAAATATTAACGTGCACTCTTATTTTATTTTATTGTTACTAGCCTGAGATAGAACCCTAGTATCCTGCATTTCCTTTCAGGGAGGGGGGACAGGGAATTGCCTTCTGCCAAGTGAGCTAGCGCTGGAGGGGTGGCACTGTGTTTCCATGCAGGTTGTGGAGGAAGGTGTTTCCCTTCCACCATGGCCAGCACAAAAACTGAACAGGGTGGCAGAGAAGGAATAAATTGTCCCCTGCACTGGGACCAGCATGGAAATGCAGAGGAAGAGACAGGGTAACCTAGCCCTCCGCCAGCCTCCTGCAACCCCCTCCTCAGCAGACCTCTTGCAATAAAGGAAAGCGATAGGGAAATGCGCCAGGAATTGTGGGACAACACTTGCTTGGTGCAACTGTAGTGTAACCTCCCCACCAACAGATCAGAATTAATGCTCCTTAAATAGCAGGCCCTGTCTAATCTCTCCGCAAACAAATGAGGCTTAATGCTCATTAAGCAGGTAGCATGGAGGCAACCTCACCCACTTGCAGGGAATTCCTTGCTGTCTGGCAACCAGGTGAGCAGTTAGGCAGAAGGTTGCTGCATTTAACTTCTTCTGAACATGCTGTTTGTTTGTTTGTTTGGTAGATTTTTACCCTGCCTCTCAATATTTTAAATGCATCTCACAAATAAAACTTAATTTTAAAATTCATTGTGAGAATACCTCCCTGCACCAAGGTATCAAATAAAATAGTGTTCACCTGTAGTATATCTTTTCTGAGCTGCTACAAACAATCAAGTGTGCTAGCAGAACACAATCCTTTCCGTTTCTGAACTAGGATTTATAACCATACAATATTACACAGAGATTCTCCTAAACCCTTTTCTTAAGGCCTCCAAAGGCTTGAGATTCTGGCAGGAGGCAGGAAATGTTTGCTAGTACAGAATGTAGCATAATGGATTCCTGCTTCTAAACACTACTGTAAATACCGTGGAATAATCCAGCAAGCAAGATGACCTAGTTTGCAACACTACCTAGTTCACAATACTGCATTCTCACAGTTCAAAGTAAACTCCCCCCCCCTTGTGCAAATGACGTCAGGTCTCTTAAAAGGAACAGAATGCCAAGACAGACTTTTTGTTCCAAAATCATTAGAATTCTTTTATCTTTAGAGGAGGGATAGCATGGGAAAGACTGCATTACTGGAAACAAACCAATGTTTTCTATATAAGCTCAATTTTAGTGTGTTAACTCCATCCTGAATAGAAAAGGAGGCGGCTGCAGCCCCACAAGGAAAATGAGACAGAAAGGGGGAGGCAGCAACACAACAATGTGCTCAAAACAGAAAATATAGAACAATATGGCTTGCCAAACACATTTTGATGTGTCACATTATTCAGAGGCAAGACGATCTTAAGGCCAAACTACATGTTACAATAGCACGCTCCCTCTCTCTATATATATATATCTGTGCTTTCAAGTTTCTTAAAAACCAGAATGCTAGCATGGGAAGGAGGGGTTATATTAGCCTTTGTCCTTAACTAGGTGCTGACTTGCATAAGAATAAGGTTGCCATGGAAGTGTAGGAGACACACACACAAACTGGAAGTGTAAGGGGCTAAAAGTGAACTGGAATAATAGGAGGCGCAAAGAGGGCCACCCCTGGCCCTCTAAAGATGCAGGTAGGGAGCTAATTTAACATGTGCTTTGGCCCTTCTCTTGCTATCTTCTTGGAGCAGTTTACTGAGAACATGCTCTTTCTTGAGCATCATTCTGAGTAAGTTGCTTGCGCTTCACAGGGCAATGTGCTGCAATGCCATAGCCCCTGCCTGCGCAGGAAATGACCTGAATGAAAGCTACTCTACAAAAATTGCCTCTGCACAGTCAACTGGATATCACGTTCATGTGGGTGATGCTGTCCTTTCTGAAAACTGGCCAGCTGCTGCCTCCACCTCCTCCCCTGTTGTTGCCAACACACACTCACTCGCTCACACGGGTGATGGCACAAGGAGCACGCTCTGGATCTTGTCTGGCTGTCTCTTCCCATGGCAAGAGGAGGCGAATAATCCCCTTCACTTACAACACACTCCCTCCCACGCAGAACTATTATCAGAAAACATGAATAAACTGCCTTATGTCACTGGTTTTGTCAGAAGTAAGCTAAGAACCAAAATAGGCTGGAGTATGGAACAGAGCAACCGTGCAGTAGAAAGGTTGCCTGATGCAGAATACCATTAACAATTATGGTGATTTTCTTTGCAATAGCCAGAAGAAGTTGAAAAGACATGGAGGGTGGGGTTTCCAATTTCTGCTGAGAAGAACCAGGACCTATGAGCCTAGGTCTCTGCTGAAAACCAAACAGAGAACCTCACCAATGATGAGGAATTAATAGAGCATTAATGAGAAATGAATCATCCTGTGCAAAATACTCCTTAAGGATAGCTCTTAGTTTATACCAACTTTATCCTAACACACACATACACCCCTTAGAAACTGGAGCAATTGTTCATGTAGATTCTTCCTGCTCTTTTGACACACCTATCCACTCATCTCCCTGTTGTCTCCAAAACTACACTAAAAATTGCTGCAACACACATTTTGAGCAAGAACAGAGTTATAATCTCTTATAGGAAAGTTTCCCACCAGGCACAACATTATATCATTTACACACCACCTGAGTACCATCCCTCCTATAGTTCCTTTTTTTTAAAAAAAGAAGCCCTCGATTTTTAATGCAAGATGTCATCACTTGAATTAATTCCTGCCTTCTTTCCTCCGAAAGGAGATTCTATTTGCAGAGTGTGCAATTGAGCCTAGATTCAGTTTCCAAGCTAATGTCATTATAGGGGTCCTAATGGTATGAAGAACCATTAGCAACAGAACAGAGCCCAAAGCAGCTCTGTTCTGATAGCAGATTGTTCTGATAATCCAGTTTTCTTCTCCACCTCCCAACTCTTCATTTCAAGAGATGATGGCTCTCAGCTTTGCAGACACACAAATGTTTAGGATGGGGCTGTACCAATGGCAACACCACTGAAGTGTCATGAAAAATGACATACACCATCAGGGATGTGCACTAGCTTCACAAGCTGACGCATCAATGCAAATGCTCAGGACAGGAATATGTGAGCAAGGATCAGAAGAAGCCAATAGACACAGCTCAACAGTTGAGGGCTGACATTCTATCCATGGAAGACACAGCAGCCCAGATTAAATGCATTTTGAAGCTGACCAAACAATGCTTTTTATTGGTCTCTGGGATTCATGAGTTACTCAGTAACAAGAAGATAAGCAAAGACCTACTGGCTCAGACCATTGATAAAAGTAGCCCATTATACAGTCTTTCTTAACAGCAACCAGTTTATCAAATAGCACCAGATAGTAACAGGGGAAATAATTCCTTGTTTTATCCCTAATTTCCATCAACATGAATTTGAGAATTCATAGTAACTAATTTCAGCCAATGTATGTTGATATTCCATTCCTATTTCTTTTTAGCAGAGTATAGGGAAAGCCTTGATCTTCATTTCAATCAAATGGAGAAGAAAATATATATTGGAACCTGTAGGCTTTAGAAGGAGAAACATCCATGAGAAATATTCCCCATCCCTCTCTAGTCCCAGTAATTATTCACCTATGTTTGCCCTTTCGGTTTATGCTTTGAGATCGAGGTAGCCTTAATTAAGAGGAATTACAGGCTGCTTTTTCCTTCAGAAACCAGAGACAGGTGGATACTATTGAGAGTCAGGCCTTAGCAACTGCTTGCTCCTTACAGATTCTGTGGTTCAGAGATCCAGCATGGGTCTCGAAGGTACAGCTATGCAATGGCACAAATTCAAAGGACAGTCAACCAAGGAAAAGCAACAAAGAAAACAAAGCACAAGACACAAGACAACACTGCATCAAAATAGGGCATTGGGTAATTTCCCTCATTTTTAAAAGTAAATTTAGTCCACTCTGTCAAATACTTAAATTATGCCATTTGCTACCAGATCCTTTAAACTAATGTCATCAAGGACTGATGAAAAAAACGTTGTACATAACTTCAAAATACCTATTAGAGCTGGGCGATATCTGGTTTGCAACATCACAATATATCACCAGCTAAACATTGTGATAGACCAATATATCATGAAGTCTGAAATAAGGATGGAGCTATGTAGAGGCATTGGCTGGCTTCACGGTTTTTCCTGCATCGTGATTGTTGCCGACGCCTGCTCTTGTGATTTGCTGCCTCCTCTAGGAGGCAGGGGAGAGCTGAGCCAGCAGAGTTAACAGGAGCTGCAGGAATTGAGAGAAGCATTGGCTGGCTTCATGGTTTTTCCCACATTGTGATTTTTGCATAGCGCGCGCACACACACGTGAGAAGGTATTGTGCAGCCAGCAGGTTCCATGTCAACGTACTCTTTCAGCCCACTTGGTACGAAAAGTTGGGCCGCCCTGAATTTTAGCTATTTACTTTAAAAAACACATTTTTACAATTAGCAAATAAGGGGTAAACAAAAGACCAGCAAATGGAACAGGCCCTACAAATGTAAACAATATTTTAAAAAAATACAATCCTAAAACCAGAATAAAAACAACAATGACATCATATAACATAGCTTCCACAGAAAAGTTATCCCTCTGACAACAATACAATTATATATATCTAATTGCGTAGTGATTCTTTTAAGTTTTTGTTGAAGGCCATTTTCCATTTCACAAAGTTCAGTTATGGGTGTGTTCTCATAAGGAGATTTCTGTTCCGCATAGACATGTCTTTCTTGCAAACAGACATACATATCAATCATTTTCACGTTGATAAGATGGTGATTTTAAGAGAACCCCTTTTCAGGAACCCCTATAACCACTGCTGCCTCAACCCAGTGACACGGGTATTTTAACTGCAATAGCACAGGGGAGAGAACTCTTGTGGGAGAAATGGGGGGAAATTATGATATTCTCATGCTGATGGGGTTCTTTGAAGCTCTGGAACTGTTATCTACTCTGAGTGGTAAAATTCAAGATGACAGCTGCAAGAAGTACATCAGTTAAATCCTTACTCTGCGGCATTGAAAGATTACAACAGAGGGCCTGGGGAGAACTGAACAAGGTGTCAACAGCTGCTTCTGTTAAACTGCCTGATCTTTCTGTCTTTTGAAATCAGTGAGGGGGGAAAGCACAAAAGATATGCAGATTAATGCAGTACAGTAACAAATTAACAGATAAGGAAGTTTTAAAATAAATCAGCATATATGTTTTTCAATTAAAACACTGCTTTTCCAAAACAGTCTGCTTGATATGGGTGCAGTGCATCAAGTGTTGGCAGTGAGCACATTGCCCAGTCATTTTAATGGAGTCTGCGCCATAGAGACTATTCCCTCCGGCCTCCGCTTCCTGCAGAGTACAAGAAACATCACGTGTTTACCGGATTGCTCCATTTGTAGTTTGCAAACTACAAGTGGAGAGTGAAGATCTTCTCATAAAGATTAATTTAACACAAGCAACGTCTGACTAAATATTTATGAACTTCCATGAACTTACCAGCTGTTGTGTACACTGTATATTTTACAGATGCAATCAATTCATCGTTTTCTATTGTATCGCACTCAAACGCAACGGGGTGGGTATCTCTGTGTACCTCCAGAATAGCTGAATCATTAGGAAGAATGAGTGATTGCTATCAATTCAAAGGTGACAAAAAAGACAAAGTTGGATTATCTCATAATAAGGTATGTACTATGTGACAATTGGGGGGGGGCTTTTCTTTCTTTCTTGGTGCTTCAGTGATCCCTCATGATATATCCTAAACCATAAACTATCTGTAATTCCCAACTTTTTATTTCCCCCTTCAGTTCTTCAGTGGATAGGCAATGTCGGGTGACCCATAAATTTTGGACGATTGTTAATTCTTCTCTGAAAAACACCAAATCTGTGTGGGACCAATTAAATGGAAAGCCTCTTTCATCAATATTGTTTTAAATTAAGAAAGGAATTGCATGATGACGTGATAAGCAGATTTCTTTCTAGGAAATGTCAGAAAGCAATGGCTTTCTTGTAACTTGCCATGCCCTCTCCCCTTCCATGCCCTGTTCTGGGAGTAGTTAAGGCTCAGAATTTGATTAAGGAAGGACAATTTTATCCATTTCCAGCATGGAGGAAGAAGTGCAATAGAAGTGTGGGTATATGGAGAGGTGTTTGTTACACTGGGAGAGTTTCAGCTCCTTGGGGAATGGGACCAAGGATGGTGGAGGGAAAGAGTGCTGCCTAGATGAGGAGTACAACAAATTAAAAAATTAAGGTTTGGTTTGCCACACACCTTTTGATACACACTTGTATATCATGTATTTTCTTCTCTAAATTAGATGACAAATTTTGAGGGTATATGGATGCATATGGTGTAACTTGCCACGTATTGCAAAAGAGCCAGTTATGCTGTCACTGTGTTTGTGTGTGTTCATGTTTGCTCTTCTGGATATCTCTTACTAAGCAGGAGTGACTCAGCTGCCAGAAGGTCAGGTGAGCACTGTTGCCACACCGCATCACCCACTACTGATACCTGGGTTTGTGAATAAGACAACAATGGCCTCATTTATGGCAGACTGCTGAGAGTGCGCGCACCCACACCCCCACACCCACACCTTGAGAGAGGCAATACATGTGCTATAATCTCATATCTCCAACTCAGTCTCTTCTCTCTTTTACTTAACTTTCCAAGAAGCTACTCATTCCACTTCAGGAAATGTGCAGTTTAGATTTTGGAACGTTTTCTCATTTTGCTTGGACTCTATTGCCTCCCATTTCCTTATGTGGCAATAGCTTATACCTATAGAATTTGTCATACCTCTCACATACTTCTTTTCCTCACCCAATCTTCTCTGGTGCTTGCCTTTTCTACAGCTTTAACATAATCATTTCTGCTCTCCTCTAAATGCACAACACACTTATTTGACTATCTTTGCTTTAAATCATGTATTCAAGTACTCTAGACCCTGACTTGCCATCTCATTCCCCTTTTCAGGAGCTGCTGTTCTTTTGTAGCACACTACAACTCCAGATTAAAGAAACCAATGTGTCTTTTGGATGTATGTGTACATTGGTATACAAGTGTAGAAGAAAAAAGAGCACATGGTAATGCAAGAGTCACTGGCGTAAGGTGAGCTCCAATATCTATTAATATTGTTCCACGCCACCTCAATTTCTAATGAACGGTGCACAAGATTCCAGGAGTCTTGGCACTAAACCAGGGTTTGTGTTTCTTTTGGCAATGAGGCACAACGGAGGCTACAGTGTCTTTATGATATATGGTTTATTTACACGTATACACAACCTGAAGCTTCAATGAAGGGGCTCGCAGCAGCAGCACTCTAAAACATGCCAGCTTATTCCATAGTAGCATCAGCATCCTTCCTCTGCAGCCTCTCCTGCTCTGCAGGGCACATATCAGCTTAGCTACCCCTTGCTGCTTCCTGGTTACATCACTGCCAACCCCTTCCCTAAACTAAGCTCTGTTTATCTACAGAGGAAGACTCCATAAATTCCCTTTCTAACACCTATTTCCTTTGAGCACCTTATAGCTAAAGATGGTCACCTCACAAAAAAAGTTTGCCTGACTTCATTAACATTTGTTGATTGGACTAGGATTACAATGCCCAACAGGAATGTCCCAGGAAGAAGTTTATCGGTGGGTCTATCACACCCCTTGCAATGCCCGAAAATACACACTAGGCTCTGGCTATTTCCTCCAAATAAATTATCTTTGACACCTCCAAAGCTTAATTAAATTCTAGCATCTATAAATCTACAATATTATATGCAAATAAATACACTCTAGGAAGCCTAAGTTTATGTGGAATCGTTATAAATAAAATCAGTTCAGTATACATTGCACAGGATGGAACTAGATTACTTACCTGGTCTGGAATCAACATTTTCCAAATGTATTGAAATCGATTTTCTGGAGGTACAAAAATACACGGTATCTTCACACTAGCAAGACTTTCAGAAATTGGTTTACCCCCTGCAGAACATAGTTTTAAAAGTCACTTTGTACCAATACTTAAACATTATTGTACACCTCAAAATATTAGGAACACCTCCACTAACAGACTGTGGTTAGAGGAATTATCATTTAATTATTATAAATTGCATGTTATGTTTGTTGATGTTTAGTCGTTTAGCCGTGTCCGACTCTTCGTGACACCATGGACCAGAGCACGCCAGGCACCTCTGTCCTCCACTACCTCCCGCAGTTTGGTCAAACTCATGTTGGTAACCTCGAAAACACTATCCAACCATCTCGTCCTCTGTCACCCCCTTCTCCTTGTGCCCTCCATCTTTCCCAGCATCAGTGTCTTCTCCAGGGAGTCTTCTCTTCTCATGAGGTGGCCAAAGTACTGGAGCCTCAGCTTCACGATCTGTCCTTCCAGTGAGCACTCAGGGCTGATTTCCTTAAGAATGGATGCGTTTGATCTTCTTGCAGTCCATGGGACTCTCAAGAGTCTTCTCCAGCACCATAATTCAAAAGCATCAATTCTTCGGCGATCAGCCTTCTTTATGGTCCAGCTCTCTTCCATACATCACTACTGGGAAAACCATGGCTTTAACTATGCGGACCTTTGTTGGCAAGGTGACGTCTCTACTTCTCAAGATGCTGTCTAGGCCTGTCATTGCCCTTCTCCCAAGAAGCAGGCGTCTTTTAATTTCGTAGCTGCTGTCACCATCTGCAGTGATCATGGAGCCCAAGAAAGTAAAATCTCTCACTGCCTCCATTTCTTCCCCTTCTATTTGCCAGGAGGTGATGGCATGATCTTCGTTTTTTTGATGTTGAGCTTCAGACCATATTTTGCGCTCTCCTCTTTCACCCTCATTAAAAGGTTCTTTAATTCCTCCTCACTTTCTGCCATCAAGGTTGTGTCATCTGCATATCTGAGGTTGTTGATATTTCTTCCGGCAATCTTAATTCCAGCTTGGGTTTCATCCAGCCCAGCCTTTCGCATGATGTATTCTGCATATAAATTAAATAAGCAGGGAGACAAAATACAGCCTTGTCGTACTCCTTTCCCAGTTTTGAACCAATCAGTTGTTCCATATCCAGTTCTAACTGTAGCTTCTTGTCCCACATAGAGATTTCTCAGGAGACAGATGAGGTGATCAGGCACTCCCATTTCTTTAAGAACTTGCCATAGTTTGCTGTGGTCGACACAGTCAAAGGCTTTTGCATAGTCAATGAAGCAGAAGTCTTTCTGGAACTCTCTAGCTTTCTCCATAATCCAGCGCATGTTTGCAATTTGGTCTCTGGTTCCTCTGCCTCTTCTAAATCCAGCTTGCACTTCTGGGAGTTCTCGATCTACATACTGCTTGAGCCTTCCTTGTAGAATTTTAAGCATAACCTTGCTAGCGTATGAAATGAGTGCAATTGTGCGGTAGTTGGAGCATTCTTTGGCACTGCCCTTCTTTGGGATTGGGATGTAGACTGATCTTCTCCAATCTTCTGGCCACTGCTGAGTTTTCCAAATTTGCTGGCATATTTGCTGGCATCTTAAGTTTAAGCTTGAATTTTGCTATAAGAAGCTGATGATCTGAGCCACAGTCAGCTCCAGGTCTTGTTTTTGCTGACTGTATAGAGCTTCTCCATCTTTGGCTGCAGAGAATATAATCAATCTGATTTCAATGCTGCCCATCTGGTGATGTCCATGTGTAGAGTCGTCTCTTGTGTTGTTGGAAAAGCGTGTTTGTGATGACCAGCTTGTTCTCTTGACAGAACTCTATTAGCCTTTGCCCTGCATCGTTTTGATCTCCAAGGCCAAACTTGCCAGTTGTTCCTTTTATCTCTTGCCTCCCTACTTTAGCATTCCAATCCCCTATAATGAGAAGAACATCCTTCTTTGGTGTCACCAGTGGCGTAGCGTGGGGGGTGCAGGGGGGGCCGGCCGCACCGGGCGCAACATCTGGGGTTAGGGCAAATCCACAGGTTAGGGGGCGCAAATCCACGGGTTAGGGGGCGCAAATCCACGGGTTAGGGGGCGCAAATTACTTGCCTTGCCCCGGGTGCTGACAACCCACGCTACGCCACTGGGTGTCACTTCTATAAGGTGTTGTAAGTCTTCATAGAATTGGTCAATTTCAGTTTCTTCAGCACCAGTAGTTGGTGCATAAACTTAGATTACCGTGATGTTAAAAGGTCTGCCTTGGATTCGTATCGAGATCATTCTATCATTTTTGAGATTGCATCCCAGTACAGCTTTCGCCACTCTTTTGTTGACTATGAGGGCCACTCCATTTCTTTTACGGGTTTCTTGCCCACAGTAGTAGATGTGATGGTCATCCGAACTCAATTTGTCCATTCCTGTCCATTTTAGTTCACTGATGCCCAGGATGTCAATATTTATTCTTGCCATCTCATTTTTGACCACCTCCAACTTACCCAGGTTCATGGTTCTTACATTCCAGGTTCCTACACAATAGTTTTCTTTACAGCATTGGACTTTCCTTTCGCTTCCAGGCATATCCGCAACTGAGCGTCCTTTCAGCTTTGGCCCAGCCGTTTCATCAGCTCTGGATCTACTTGTACTTGCCCTCCGCTCTTCCCCAGTAGCATGTTGGACGCCTTCCGACCTGAGGGGCTCATCTTCCAGCGTCATAACTTTTATATGCCTGTTGTCTTTGTCCATGGAGTTTTCTTGGCAAGGATACTGGAGTGGCTTGCCGGTTCCTCCTCCAGGTGGATCACGTTTGGTCAAAACTCTCCACTATGACCTGTTCATCTTGTGTGCCCTGCTCGGCGTAGTTCATAGCTTCTCTGAGTTCTTCAAGCCCCTTCACCACGGCAAGGCAGTGATCCATGAACATGTTATGTTTAAACCTTCTATTAACTAAGAAGCAATACAGGACATGTCACTTTTAAACCACCTCAGAATAAATGTATGGCATTTTGGAAATGATGCATGAATATTCACAGAAGCTAACTGGGAATAACGGTATCATTACATCATTACTCACATCCACAATCTGCTGGTCCTCTGCACTCTTCAACACGAACAATACACTTAGTTTCACCTCCAGGGCATCCATTGGTTAATATAACTTCTCGAATGCCAATACCTTTGATCAAGATGAAAAAGGTAGCATTACATGTCTGTTTGTGTTTTGGTTTATTTCTCTTTCTCTGTGGTAGATACTCCTTTAAGTTCACCTTCTAAAATCAAAACACTTTGGTCCCTGTCAAAGGCCTTCAGAAAAGCAGTTGTCTTCTTTATAACCAAAATTTAGAAGATACCACCCATTTGTGCCTGGGACTATTGTCTATTTAGATGATGGTAACCCATCCATTCCACAAGGTAAAAACTTTCTCCTTTCAGTTGAATTTTATATGCGCTTTCATTTTAATGCATTGCTAAAAACAAACAAGTTAATTAAAATTTAAATATCAACGCTAGCTTGCAGCCTCTGTGAACCTGGCCTTTCAAAGCCTCAACCATCTGGTGCCTGGAGCATTTTTGCTCTGATGAGCTCATTCCGATCAGGTGCTGAGCATCCTTAACTCTTATGGATACCAATGGAAAATTACAGTGCTGAATACCTTGCAGGATTTGGGCTTCTCAGGAAGGAGGTAAGTACTCTTGCAAATTAAGGAAATCTGATGTCACATTGGTCTCACCTTGGTGCTAGCTTTAATTGGTGGATTCATCAACATAATCAAAGCTTTCTGAAGCGAGCTCAATTCTGATTGTTACTGTAGCCACATGTTAATGATAGCTTCCATTTTAAGCAGTTTTAAATTATCCAAGTTTTTTTAATGATAATAAAAGAGATTGCACTGGATAACTTCCACCTATCAGGTTTATTCAGGAAGAAATCCCACTGAATTAAAGGGCACTTACTTCCGAGTGAGTGTGTGGAGGGTTGCAGCCTACAGGGAAAAGAACTACCTATATGTAATTAAGATTAGATAAGAATTGCAGGTCTCAGACATCAACATTTCACTTGGGAACTTCATGTTATTTTCAAAAACACAAACATATTCAACACAAGTGCTGTGTTTCTTTGCTTTTCTCTTTTTTCCTTCTGCCAAACACTGTGTACCCAGCTCATTCAAATGGCATGGCATGCGAGGGAGGAGAGAATAGTATGTTTAGTCCCAGTAAATACAGAATAGATTGCCAGCCGTTATAGAAATATTTTGTTTATTGAATAAGGAATGGAGATGGGGGAAAAAACCTTTTGTGACCTAAGCAGAATACAACCTATGCATATGAAAAAACAACAACCTTGTGGGGAGGTATTTTGCATCCTAAATGCTTAGAAAACCTGATATATTTTGTAATATTTCTTATATGACATGTAACATTACCTCAAGTGGCAGACGGAACGAACAACACTTACTGGAAATGTTGCAAAACGAGAATCATGCTAAGCTGCTGAGAATTTCTCATTTCAAAGGTTAAGAAAACAGAGGTGTATATAGCAATGAACTGACATTTTTATTAAAGACATTTCTCTTGTTTTGGAGAGAGGTTTTTAAAAAACTCACATAATGGGTGTATAATGGGTGATACTGGAGATACCTATAACAAAGGAAAACAATGGACACGCCTTCTCTTTTAGTCCTGAAACAGGGATGGACAAATGGACAGTGTGTGTGTGTGTGTGTGTGTGTGTGTGTGAGAGAGAGAGAGAGAGAGAGAGAGAGAGAGAGAGTTGACAGTCTCCTTTTATTGGGCCACCAATCACTCTTAACCCCAACTCCAATCTCCGAGCTGTTCATGATTCCTTTTACTTCCACTATCCAAATTCCCTTGAAAGCAGGAAGATACAAACTTCTGGATAACAGTACAATCCTAGGGATTGAATTGTGATTGCAGAAAGATGGCTTCATCAGATTTGGAGTAAAGCATGGTGGGACTAGGAGCACTAGACTTTGACTAGGGAGGACTTTCTGCCTCTTAGTTCAAATTGTGAAAATCCTCTGTAACTGACACCACAGGGCAGTGGTGTAGTGTGGGTTGCCAGGGCCCGGGGCAAGGTGGAGTACTTGAATGGAGTACGCATGCGCATTCAACTGCCTAACGGTATTTATATCACCCAGGAGATCATATTCACAGAGATAAAAAGAAGAGTTGTACTGTTGTCTGGAGAGGTCATTTCCTGGTTTGCATGGAGAAGCCGTTTTCAATGGAGCCCAGCGACGGGTGCAGCTGTATTAAGGCAGCACTGGGTGTTGAAATTTTGCACCCTGAAGAATTTTGCACTTGAGGCAACCGCCCTTGTGCCCCCCACACTACACCAATGCAATAGGAAAGTTGCCTTAACTGCAGCTACCTGAATAATAAATTTGGAGTTGTCATATATTTACAAAATATTTTCAGATACACTTGTACGACCAAGATGCAAATCCATAAGAGAAGTGCATTCAAAGTGAGAAAATAGCCCTGGCTAAGCCTTTTTCCTGGTTTTGTCTTCGGGGGTAGAGAGCAGGGAATAGACTTAGATCAATTTTCAAGGTGGCTAGATCTTGTATGAGATGCCAGATTCTGTGTTCATGCAGTGAAACCATGGATGCATGAAGCAAATATGGGCCAGGGGCAACAACCTTTGTGTAGGCTAAATTTAAATTTCAAGTCCTAAGAAGGTTGTTTCAGAAGATCTCAAGTTCCTTTGGTGTTTCACTATTTGGTTACTTTTTCTCCTTTTATTGCCTGGCCAGTTGGATATTTTTACCTCCATCCTGGCAATTTTCTCATTGGACGCATCTGAACATCATGACAAGCCATTAACTGTGGCTTACCATGCACAAGCTTTGCTCCTCCTCACTTGTGCTGGAGAGATACAAGACATGATCCTTGGCTTAGCACTCCATCAAAAACAAGGTATTTGGGTTTACTGACTTTAATGAACATGGCCATTGAGATATTCATTCAAATTCCCTCAAACTAGCAATGTAATTTGCAATGAAGGTTGGACGTGAAATGGTATTAACAAGTCAACCTTTGGGGGCGGGGTTGGGGCTTTAATGAGGCATGCAGTTAAGTGGCATTAGACCACATCTAATCTGACAGCTTTATCAATAATAACGAAGAAGTTAATGAAGAACTATGTTAATTCAATTAAGTTAAGGTGCTAAATTGAGAAGAAAGAAAGCATAGCCAAAAGGATTTAGAACAATTGATGGCTGGAAGATAATTTAAAAATGGTTCAACTTGCAGCTACATAGTAAAAAAGATGAAATAATGAATAAGAAAAAGTAAAAGTTAAGTTGAGCTGAATGGAGGGCTCATCCATACTGTTCTTTAATGTAGATAATGTACTTCCATTAATTCTCTGTTGTCTTTAGGGCATTCTCCTCCACTTTTCCAACATAAATCTGGATTTTTTTCACACCTTCTCCTTTTTGAAGCATCCCTGGTATGGTGTGGGATTTGGTAGAGAATGTCACATGGACAATGAATAATTAATGTTATATAGGAAGCTTATTATCCAAATTAGACATCAGTATAGATGAGCCCAGATTTTGGGATTTCACCAGGGAGACAAGAGTTATAATTCAAGTTGATCATGTTGCTTTCCTGATCAGGTAAAAATGGGAATTGCACAAATCTATCTGACATTATTGTTATGAAGAAAAGCAAGACAACAAGTACAAAGTGCTTTAAGATACTGTATAAAATATAAACAACAGCATAGTATAAAACATTTTTTGAAAAGAAAGTGGAAAAAGCTAAGAGCACATGGGTAACACTGAATTCTAACAATTATCAAAAGGATATTGTGAATTTGCACAATTACCATAAATATATCCTGGGGAAAGCAATGAAACAGAGGCTTCTACACATTTCAGGGGAGGAGCAGTATTAAAGAAACATGGATTTGCTGAGATTTGGGGGAATGGACAGCAATGTAGCCTCTCTGCTATAGACCAAATTATAGATGTGGCTACCTTAAAATAAAATAAAATAACACTCTAAATGAGAGTGACACAATCAGTGAATGCAACTCTTTCATTATAACACCAACTGTTCATATTTCTTTTTTAAATGTTACATTTATAATTAAAAGAACCCTGTGAATATATGGAGTGGGTAACTTAAGTATGGAAACATTGCCAGAATGGAGAGCATTCTGCAAATTTTTCAAATTTTGAATAGGGAAGGGATGCAAACTGTGCTTAAAAAAAAGTATTAACTGGAACAAAGAACATAAGAATAATATTAAAAATGTTTACTGGCACAAAATAACAAAAAATATGCTGCACTGATGGGGGAAGTAAACATTTCCTTTCTGATGACAAAGGCGTAACCATCAGGTTTATGAACATTTGTTTCTCTTGCGAACTACCTGAGAAACGAAGCCATTGTCAGAGATGCAACAACTATCCTATTTTTATTTGCTCTGCATGAACACAGGCATATTCGACTAGAAAATGGTTACCCTATTGGAGATCACTCTTTCCACTCATTTTTGAGACCTCAGCTACCTTTAGCACAGCTAATAAGCTGTATGATGAATACAACATACACTATTGCAGAGAAGAAATTTGCTTTATAGGGTTGGAAATATTGTATGTGGGAAGACATCTGTGAGATGCATCAGGAGGTCTTTCAGCTTCTGAACGTTTCGCAGATGTTCACAAATAGAGAAAATTGTTACTCTGGTGAAGGCAGCTCCATGAGCCAATAAACAAAAGGAGCTTTTTTTTTAAAAAAAGAGAGCCTGCAGGCTGTGAAATTAATAAAACAACAGATCTGACCTAAATTTATAATGACAATCAACTGGATTGTTTTTGTTAATTATAGTTATCAACAACTGAAATCAATGGAAGGTGAATGAGGGCATGCAAATTACAATGGTTCAACAGCTAATGTTAGTATATTGTTCCTAATTTTTTTTTAAAAAAACCCCAAACCCACCCAATTATACTATGTTTTATCCATCTGCTTTTCTGCTTACCACATGTAACCGTGCATTCTCCAAATTCTACTTCCTTGGGTTGTGTCAGATTTGCTTCTGAAAAAGATATCAAGTTACAAAAAGCAGGTTACAGAAGTAAGTTAAGTATACAAAAATATAGGGTGGAATTCAACATTATGCTATTGCAAATGTTCCGTCTGCACAAGCATGTCAGCTTGAGGGGTGGAAAGACCCCTTCCCCCCTGTGATGTTCTGGAGGTTCTCCTAACCCCCTCAGAGCAAACTTTGGCAGGTGCAGGAAGAATGACGGGGCAGGAGGGGGGAAGCCCCATTGTGCAAGCCGAAGCCCATGTGCAAGACTTCCATTGACAGGGTTCATTAGGTGACTCTCACCCACCTGTAGTCATGAAATTCTTCCCCAGTGCTTTTCACCTGAAGCGTAACATTTTCTCATTCAGTGGAGCAATGGGAAAGAAACCAGGATTTCCAGAGCAATAAATTATACTAAAACAAATCAAGCTGGACACATCTCATTATTTAAATATTAACTGATTTTGAGAAATAGGGTGTACATCCCTACATAATTTTTTTTTCAAATATAGTCCAGTAGGGAAATTGAAAAGCACAACATTCTCTTTATTTCAGTGACTGGTGAATCACATTGTAAATATGTAGTAGAGATCATTATTATACTGCAGGATGCCTTACTTTTCAGCTTGCTAAATCAAAGCTATGTTATAATAATACAGTGGTACCTCGGTTTTCGAACGTAATTTTTTCCAGAAGTCTTTCAAGTTCTGAAACGTTCAAAAACTAACACTCAATAGCTGGCAGCTAGGTTTCAGGATCTTGCACACCGCGGAAGCCACATTGCATGTTCGACTTCTGAGGTGTGTTTGAAAACCGAAGCATTTATTCCCAGGTTTACAGCATTTGAAAACTGAACTGTTTGTCAACGGAGATAGTCTAAAACCGAGGTGCCACTGTACAAGCCTACGCATGTTTACTCAGAAAAAAAAACCTATTATGTTTAATGGCACAGACTTCCGGGTAAGTGTGTACAGTATGGAACTGCAGCCTAACATCTAGTGGGGGGGGGGAAGTTATGTAAACATTTTTACACATGAACAATCATCATCGGAGAGTTAAAAACGTAATAAGAGCCTCCTGGATCAGGCCAATGGCCCATCTAGTCCAGCATCGTGTTCTCAGAATGGGCCAGGAGCAATATGTACACTGTCACAGTCTTGGAGGGATGGTCCACTTTCGGTCTTCAAAGCAAGTCCTTGCACAACGCTATCGCACTGACAGCGCATCCAATTCGTGACATAAAAGACGGCACGTGGCTCTCGCATCCCATTGAGGGACGATTAAGCATTGACTTTTCAAAAAACAAAAAACCCGCGACTCTCACTCAGCCTGGCAAACAGCTGGCTCCACACGCGAAACACCTTCGCTTTGACCTAACATCGTTCTAGCTTCTCAAGGGGGGAAATGGGAAGGAACTGAGAAGAGCAGGAGCCGGGCGGCGCAGCGAGCGAAAAGGAAGCGCCGGGGAGCCTCTGAGGCTGGAACTTGGCCTGGGGAAAAGAGAGGAGGAGGAGGAGGCAGCTAGAAGCAGCAGCAGCCTCGCCGCGGGGCTGTTGCCTTAGGGGTGCGTTTTCGCCTGGAAAATTGCCTCGCGCAGGTTAGCCAGAGGCCCGTTTGCACAATGAAGACGGCGGAGGTGCAAAGGCGGCCCTTCGCAGCCGCCGACTGGGCTTCGTACAGAGCCAAAGGAGGCTCTCGCTGGTGGGAAAGGGCGCCTCTCTGCAGGCCGCCCTCCGCGGGCTCGACAGGCTGAGCCGCTCGCCGCTCACCCGATTCCTCCAGATGCAGCAGCGGCTCCGACAAGGCCACGTCGACCGAGATGGTGTCGTTGAAGGCGCCCGCGGGCTCGCTGGCCAGCAGCGTCAGGAGCAGGCCCACCCGGAGGACGAGCTTCCCCGTGCCCTCGGCCTTGCAGAACCCCATTTTCTGCAGCGCCCGCCGCGGCCTTTGCCCTCAGCCGAGCCCGCCGCGCGGAGGCGCTCGCAAAGGGGCAACCATTGAGGCGTCACAATGAGGCCTTGCTCAGCGTTCGAGCGGCACGCGGCGCTGGGAAGACGCGGGGGGCGAGGAAGGAGGAGGCCGCTCGCCCCGATCCTGCTTCTCTTCCTTCTCCCCACCCCGAAACTGGAAAGTCCCCCCCCACACACACACACACATGCACACACGGTGGCAGCGCCTTCTCCCTATATGAAAGTATTTGGGGACCCCCTCCTGAGCCCATCCATCTATGGAGGTCTTCAGAAAATGTGATTTGCGTCTTTACTCAGAAACTCAAACCTCGCACCCTCGCGACCACCACCTTTTCTAAAACAGACTCCTGAACTGTCCTCACGATTTTCAGATAACACACTAATAATGCCTTTAAGAACCTTGTGCTTTTCCATAGCGCAGGAGGATTGACAGCCAAGGGAGTGGTATCTAATCTGCAGTGTCTCTGGAGGTGTTGCTCAAGTGTTTTCTCCCTGAGAAGCACTTCGCAAGAATTGCACATAAACAGCCAGCAGACAAGTCAAAACAAAACCTGGGTCTCTCCACTTGCATATCCTGTATTGGTTTTTAACAGTTCTGGATTTATAGCTTAGTCCTATACATGCCCACTCAGAGTAAATTCCTTTGAGTTAAGTGGTAACTGTATAGAAATGCAACCATAGGCTTTTGTTTAGCATTTTGGAATACAGTGGTACCTTGAGTTACATATGCTTCAGGTTACAGACTCCGCTAACCCAGAAATAGTACCTCGGGTTAAGAACTTTGCTTCAGGATGAGAACAGAAATTGTGCTCCGGTGGCGCAGCAGCAGCAGGAGGCCCCATTAGCTAAAGCGGTGCTTCAGGTTAAGAACAGTTTCAGGTTAAGAACGGACCTCCAGAACGAATTAAGTACTTAACCCGAGGTACCACTGTATAACAAAAGTGCTGTTGTCTTGATTACTGAGTTTTGCTCAGTTAGCTTCTACTCGGCATCCGAAATCTCATCAGGTCTTTGAGCTGACCCACCCATTGTGCCCATTGGGTGCCCCTGAATTTCTAAACCCATTCATGTATGGATGGATCACTGCATTGTTGGCATGATTCTTTCACACCAGTACGAATCCTTTTTTGACTAATTGCAATGTGGTGTTCCACATGAAGAGTTAACTGACCTCTGTAGGGCATTCATAACTTGTAGCCATGTTAACTTTGTCAACACTTGCATTCTGAGTTTTTCCCCTCAAGTGTTTGTGGTCTCTCCATCTGACAGTAGAACAAATGTAGATGCCTCTGGCAGGAAGAAGGAAGAGCTATTACTAAGTATAGATATTAGGTACTCTGAGTCCTTAGGATAAAATAGTCTATATATTTTAATAAGTACTGTATATCTTGTATTCTGTGCCATTCTTGCTGGGGGAGATTTTGGGCATTTTGGTGAAATAAGGAATCAAATAGTGTGGATAATGTTCAATATGACATCTTTATCCTTTCTCTTCACAGATTCCCCTTTGAATTTGGGAGCTGTAATCAAATGTTTTTGTGCTGGTACTCTTAAAGCAATGGCAACAAATAATCTTCAGCTATCAAAAAATCTGTCTCTTTTCAATTATTATCTCCTTCAGTAGCCACAACAGCTATCGTCCTCTGGAATAGTTAAATGTCAACCAGTATAAAGGTTTCTGAGTACAAAGGAGTGGACATTGACAGAAAGCTGGATTGAGACAAGGCAGTGAGATGGGAAACATTACAGACCTCTATAGAGGGCAAAACTAATTCATTTAGCTTAATTTCCTGCCAGTAATTTCTCCCACACAACGGCAAGCAAAACTCCCTGTCTCAAACACCTGAAAACTGAACACGTTTTTCCTCCAGGAAATGAGGAAAATAATGATTATGGCATATTGGGGGGAAACTCATTGAGGTGGTCAAATAATTAGCTGGAGACTATAAATGCATCTAAGTGGGAAACTGGACTCTTCATGAAAGTCAAATTGTGATGGTGTCTTGGATACAATTGGTCTATTGTGGTATGAGCGCTTGCAGACTACTGAAATGGGGTACTGGAACCTTTTGAGTCCAGTTCTTAGGTATGAACTTATCTGTTAAGACAAGATCTTATTCATTGGCGTTAACCTTCCGTGTTAGAAAAGGGCTCATACTACATGCCTATCCTGGTAGCTGTTGTAAGGTTTAATGTAATGATGTATTTGAAGTTAATGCACAATGGAAAAAGCTATATAAATGCACTAATTGCACAACTATCTACATGTTTATTCCGAGGTAAGTTCCACTGTGCTAAGTGGGACTGGCTTGGTTTACTGTAAATGTGCATAAGATTGCAGCTTTAGATGTATTCAATCCTGTAATTTCATGCTCTTTTCATTGGAAATTTTTCAAATAAATGTACTTAGAGTCACAACCTTAGATTGAAGGGTCTTGCTGAAATTTTATATTAGCATGGTAAATTGCAGGGAAGTCAGAATAGAATACAATTGTGCTAATGTTTAATGCATTTTATTGTAATTTAATGTTTTATCTATAATTTTACTTGTACTCCGCTTGGAAAGCCTTTTTTGTGGTTTATAATTTTTTCAAATAAATGAATTTTTGCATATAAAAATGTATTTCATCTTTCTGCCAATGTGCATTTTTAAACTTATTTCTTCTAACAGTGTAATCGTCTGCATGTCTTTTAAGAAGTAAGTTCTACTGAGTTCAATGGGACTTACTCCAAAAAAAGTATAATACGATTGAGGATCTAGTAAGCAAATGCTGCAAAGTTTCAAGGGCACAGTAGATAATAAAATGAAGACATTAATTCAAATTAATTCAATTTTATCAGCAGATAAACTGTAAACCTTATCAGTTGTTTCTCTTCAGGAAAGCTACTGTGAATGAACCTGCTGCTGGCCTTAAACCACATTTTTAAAAAAAACATTTTGTTAACTCTTTATGAAGGTTTCCCTGGGCTAGTGATGGATCCTGGAAGGCTTCCTTGGGCAAAGTATACATTATACATTAAAAACACATTACTTCCTCAAAGAATCCTGGGAACACTAGCTTATCTTTCCCAGAGCTACAGTTCCAAACAACCTTAACAAAATATGGTACCCAGGATTTTTGGGGGAAGGTAATGTGCTTTAAATTCATGGTGTGTACGCATATCACATCCCACCCCTTTCCACTGCACCTGGGGTTAGACTTACTGAAAACAGCTACAGGCAGGGAAAGACTTTAGAAGTATATCCCAACCGCTATTTTAGAACCACAGAATGGAATATATTTTCAAGGTAGGCACTTGGATATTTTCCTAGGTAACATTGTCATGAAGTGTCCTCATTTCCATTTTCCAGGTAAGCAGGAAACAGCAATAATCGTCAACCATAAAAAGTAGCGGAGGAAGAGATCTGTCAGTGGTTGGCTGTATTTTGCTTAAACCTGCAAATGTGTAGGAAGAAGGCTGCTTCCTAAATGCAACCCCCATCCCCAACCTATCATCAGGATGCATCAAGAGCATAGGAAGATCCTTCCTAGATAAAGCCAAAAGTAGTTTAGTTCCTCATCCTGTTCGCCCAGTGGTTAACCAGATGGGAGAGGAAATCACACGAGCAGGACGTGTGTGCAATAGCACTCTCTATAGCAACAGGGATACGCAGACATATCACCACTGATATCGGAGCAAATGTATACATTGCCATCATGACTAGTATTTGCCAATAGTTTTGTCCTCCCAAGGTGGGGGGATTTTATTTTATTTACTGTCAAGTGGCATATAGGTTTTATGAAATAAATAAAAAATACGTTTCGAACCTCCTAGATTGGTGGCCGTCAGTGTATCTTGTGTAGCAAATTCCGTGGTTCAACTGGTGTATGAAGGAGAACTCTCTGAATCTTCCCACATTCAGCTTCATTAAATAATCCTGGATTTTTGTATTTTGAGAGGGAATATTTTTCTCTATCCAAACATGCTCGCCTTACCCTTTTCCAAACTTAACATATTTCATCCCATTAAGATGTGCAGTGGAAACCCTGCTGGCAATTCTGCCATCCTGTGAATTTCAGAAGTGAGAGATTTTTCTCTTTGGTGGCACTCAGTCTGTGAAATGAAGAAGAAGAGTTTGGATTTGATATCCCGCTTTATTACTACCCGAAGGAGTCTCAAAGTGGCTAACAATCTCCTTTCCCTTCCTCCCCCACAACAAACACTCTGTGAGGTGAGTGGGGCTGAGAGACTTCAGAGAAGTGTGACTAGCCCAAGGTCACCCAGCAGCTGCATCTGGAGGAGCAGAGACGCGAACCCGGTTCCCCAGATTACGAGTCTATCGCTCTTCACCACTACACCACACTGGCTCCCCTGTCCAAGGTGTGCCTGGCTTCTTCATTGTATACCCTTTATGTCAGGTCAAGAGGCCCCTTTTTTCCCACAGGCCTTTGGGGTAGAGAATAAGATCAGAAGATATTTCCCACTGTGGAATTGTTGCCGTTTCTGACTGTTTCTGGTTTGATTTAATACAGCCTAAGTCCCAGCAAAGGAAGAATGGGTGCAAAAACTTACAGAATATGCAGAAATGGTGAAACTTAACGGAAGAATGAGAAATCGAGATAACAAACCTTTTATGAAAGTTTGGAAATGGTTTATTGAATATTTACAGATAAATTGTAAACAGATAAGAACATTGGCAGAATTATTGCAATAACCTGCAGTTTTATAAGAGTATATATTTAAAGTAAACAATAAATGAGCAAATGAAGTTAATTAGGATATGCAGAAGATATTAAAAAATAAATTTAAGGAACTGCAGAAAGAGGGGGAAGGAAGTCAAGCTTTGAAATGTTAAAATGATTGTAAAATTAGTGAAATGTATAAACCTGAAAAGCATTTTTTTAAAAAAAAAAAGATTTAATACGGACTAGTAATGTTTTATGTATTTAATGGTTTACTTGAAATGAGCTAGAATCACATGGTGAAAGGCAGGCTAAAAATGCATATCAAGAATTAAAGTCCCAAGCGCTGTAACCTTTACTTTTCCTTATAGGGGAATAGTGCAGCCTCATTATTATTTTGGATGCCCTTTTCTTAACCT